GATTCATGCTTATTGTTGCATTAATTGCAGTCGATTCTCTTCCCTGCATGGTATTTTATTAAATGAATATACTACAATTTATTTTCCATTCCACTGTTTTTGGACATTTGTGTTTTCCAGTTTAACAGAGTGTTAAACCAAGCACAGAGTCCTTCTGAGCACAGGTCCCTGTGTGACTACAGAGTTCCCAGGTCTCTTATTTTTCAAAGGTTTTCTTAAGACTCTCCTCCTCACTCTTTACTCCCAAGGTCTTGAAGCCACAGCGGAGCTCCATCGATGGCTCTGTTGCGATTAGGTGCATACTTCTCTGTGCAATTTGAGGTTCCTCCATATCCTGGTGATGCTGAAGGCGTGTGTGGTGTGTTTTCACTCCTTGATAATCTCAGGCTTTTTTTGGAGGTTGTGTAAAGAGTTTTGAAGTCAAGTGGCTGCTGTTATCCCTCAGAGTAGGAACTTTTTTGATGATATTCTAAAAACAATCTTTCCTTTTTCACAACAAAAGACTTTAATTACAAATTTTTTCTTTTTACTGGATAACGCATTAATACAAACATAAAGAGGTTCAAGGTATCATCAAAAATTTCATTTTCTAATTATTTATTGCTTTTGTGTAGAAATAACAATTGCTTTTTAAAAAATTTCCTTGTACCTTGGGACCTTATTATATTCACTTAACCGCTCTACTGGTTTGTCTGCAGTGGGTTTTTTTTTTGGAATCTTTACATAAACCAGTCCTGCGGTCAGAGAACGCTGACAGTTTTATTCCTTCCTTTCCAGCTCTTACGCTGTATCTGTTTTCCTTTTTTATTGCTGTTAGGCCCTCGAGTACAGTATTGAATAGAAGTGGTGATAGCGGGCGTTCTTTTCATTCCTGATCTCAGAAGGAAAGCATTTAACTTTTCCACCAATAATATTATGGTTTTTTCGTAAAAGTAAGGACTTACCTTCGATTCCTTAGTCTTCTATGAGTTTTTGTTTTTAATGATGAATACGTGATGAAGTTTATCAAATGCCTTTTCTGAGTCTATGGAGATGTCAATAGATTCTGACCGATGGATTTTTGAATGTTAAACAAACCTGGCATTTCTGGAACGAGCCTAACTTGGCTGGGATGTATGTGTATGTAATGTTGGATTTGGTTTACCCTTACTTTACTTTAAGATTTTTGCGTCTGTGTTCATGAAGAAGACTGGCCTGAAACATTCCATTCTTGTAATATTCTTAAGAGCTTTTGGATCGCACTTAGTCTGGCCTCAAAAAACCGAGTGGGAGGCTCCCTCTTTTTCTCTTCTTGGAAAGAGATGGTCTCAGAGTAGCATTATTTCTTCTCAGAGTGTTTGGTAGAATTCTCAGTGAATCCATCTGGACCAGGAGCTTTCTTTTTGGGAAGTTTTAAATTATGGATTCAACTACCATAATAATTATATCACCATTTATATTTTTTATTTTACCATGCCAGTTTTGGCAAGTTTTATTTCTCTGGTAATTTGACCCTCTGTCTAAATTTTCTTTTCTTTTCTTTTTTTTTTTTTTTTGAGGAAGATTAGCCCTGAGATAACATCTGCTGCCAATCTTCCTCTTTTCGCCGAGGAAGACTGGCCCTGAGCTAACATCCATGCCCATCTTCCTCTACTTTATACATGGGATGCCTACCACAGCATGGCTTGGCGATGTCTGAATTTTCATAGAGTTGTTCATAATACCTTAGCACATTTTTAATTTACAGAATTTTGTGGGATTTGCAGTGTTATTTCTTTTTTATTCCTGACACTGTGTAAGTGCTATCTCTCAGCACTTTAAAGATACCATTCTATTGTCTTCTGTTGAGAAGTTAGCTGTCATTTTACTTTAGGTCTTTTTATGGTAATATGCTTGTATTCAAGATGTTACTTTTGTCTTTGATTTTCCCTCATGTTATTATGATGTGCCTAGGGGTGAATTTCTTTTTTTGTTTATCCTGCTGAAATTCTTAAGGTTTCTTGAATTTGAGGTTTGATATTCTTCATCACTTCTGGAAATTTCTCAGACATTATTTCTTAAACATTGCATTTCCCCCCATTCCCTCCTTTTAGAATTTCATATACACATACGCTAGACATTCTCAATGTGCACTCTATTTCTGTTACCTGCTCTGTGTGTTTTCCATCTTTTTGTTGGTCTATGCTTTATTTTTTCCCCTCTATGTTTTAGGTTACTAATGTTCCCTTAAACCTGTCCACAGAATTTTTAATTTTGGTTATTGTGTTTTCAGTTCTAGAATTTCCATTGGTTCTTTTTAAAAGAAATACTTTCCATTTCTCTGCTGAAATTCTTAGTCTTGTCTTTTTTTTTTTTTTTTTTTTTAAGATTTTATTTTTTCCTTTTTCTCCCCAAAGCCCCCCCGGTACATAGTTGTGTATTCTTCGTTGTGGGTTCTTCTAGCTGTGGCATGTGGGACGCTGCCTCAGCGTGGTCTGACGAGCAGTGCCATGTCCACGCCCAGGATTCGAACTAACGAAACACTGGGCCGCCTGCAGCGGAGCGCACGAACTTAACCACTCGGCCACGGGGCCAGCCCCTAGTCTTGTCTCTTATCTCCTTGAAGATATTAAGCATTTAACAGCTTGTGCATGTTCACTGGAGTCCCCGAGTCTATTTCCACTGTGTGTTGTTTCTGCAGATTTTCAATTCTCTGGTTTTGTCTCTTCACATGCCTTGTTACTTTTGGTTGCATGCAGGACATTGTTCTGATAAAATTATTTGTAGAAATAATTCCTATGATGCTGCTATCTTCCTCCAGAAAAGATTCACGTTTTCTTCTGCCAGGTGCCTGAGAGCACTAACTGTCAGCAATTCCTTCAATCAGTTTCAGTGACTGAGCTCATTGGAAAGTGAGCCACAGTTCTGTATGGCTACCCTTACTTTTATTGTGTAGACCTGTGAGAGTCCAATCCAAAGAGAGGGACACTCGCCATAAACCGCTCTTATTTCTGTCCCTGAACCCCAAGCCCTAAGGTGAGGCTCTCGGAATCACTGCTTAGCCTCCCGGCCAACCTTTCTAGAATGAGCAAACACCTCCTGGAGAAAAGCAGGTCTAAACATGCGTGGGCACATCTCCCTGGGCCTTCGTCTGCCCCAGATGGCAATTCTTTACTGTATTTTTAGCTTCCTGATATGTCCAAGTAGCTGTTTTTTATGGTTTTCCAGTGGTTCTAATTGTTCCTAGGAGAATTTTTGGCTGGAATTGCCTGTTCTCTGTTATTGGGAGCAGAGATCTTTTTATTTCCTTTTTTTTTTTTTGAGGAAGACTAACCCTGAGCTAACATCTGCCAATCCTGCTCTTTTTGCTGAGGAAGACTGGCCCTGAGCTAATATCCGTGCCCATCTTCCTCTACTTTATATGTGGGATGCCAACCACAGCATGGCATGCCAAGCGGTGCCATGTTTGCACCCAGGATCCAAACCTGCAAAACCCGGACCACCAAAGTGGAACGTGTGCACTTAACCACTGTGCCACTGGGCTGGCCCCCTATTATTTCCATTTTACAGATGAAGATACTGAGACTTAGCATAACTAACGTTTCCTAAACAAATTGAAGGCTGAGTTACAGACTCAGTGGTCTGGGATGATTTGGAGTTTGTCTTAGGGAGTAACACATAACATTTTCTTTCTCTTTTCAAGATGCTAGGCTCTGTTTACCTGTGGTGATGGGGTCATGAGGAAAGTGCAGTGGACATAGCCTTTGCCACAGGCAAGACATGGCAGTTAAGAAATTGGGAGGGACTTAGTGTGGAGAAAAGGGAGGAGAAATAGGCTTCTCGTGTGGAGAGAGGAGGTCGTAGGGCTTAACCATTCCTAGGGGTAGAGATTAGGGGGCTCGTATTTCTGGCCACTGGCTGAGTCCTTTGTACCTGGACAACTTCAAAAGTCAGCTGTCAGAATGCAAAAAAGAAGAGGGTCACCCAATGTGACTATCTGACCAATTTTTTATCTGTTCTTTTGAAAATGAATGTTTAAAGACTTGGGGACATGGGACAAGAGCCCTGTGCTTTGGCCTCTGGTACACTATGACCTGGGCAAGTGGCTTTACTTCTCTGCATGTCAATATTATCATCTCTAATGGAGATGATAATTCCTACTTTTTCCTATTTCATATGAAAAGTGCAATAGAGCTGATATTACTCATTATTCTACCGTGAAACCAGAGGAATGTTTTTGAGGTAACTTTGCATCATCCCAATGATTAAAGCCCTTCAATGGTTTCTGATTGTTCTTGGGCTTAGCGACAAACCCTGTAAGTTCAGCTCACCATGCACTCGGGAGCCTGGCCCTTGCCTGTCTCCCCAGCCTCACCTTAGACCGCGCTCCTGCAGTCATACAGACTTTCTGACTTCCTGTTGCTCCCTTGTCCTTGCCCTGCTCCCTTCCCCTGTAAGGGCTTTGTACTCGTTGTTGCCTCTGGCCAGTCAGTGACCTCCTTCCCTCCCGCCCAGCCAGATCCTGATGCATGTGGTACCATGTGTTCTGGAAGTCTTCCCAACCTCACAACTAGCTCAGATCCTGTGAGAGGCACTCACCGAACCATGTGCCCCTCTCCCGTAGGACCCCCAGAATTGTGGGTTTACATTTGTTGGTACCTTCTCTCTCACTGGACTTAAGCACCTGGGGGTAGAAACTGCCATTTTGCTCATTGTTGTCTCCTTAGCATCTAGCCCACTGCCTGGGGATAGTAAGCACCCAATAAATATTTGTCAAAGAAATGAAAGATGGAAAGAAATCGTGTTAATTTCATGCTAGCTGTCGATTTTGCCAGTTTATTAACTTGTTTTCTGAAAAGCGGGTTGGAGCCAGAAGCCCTAGGAAGAGAAGATTTAGATTGTGAAAAAAGCAAAAGATGGTCTTCAAATGTCCTTGGCTACAAGTAATTAGTATTCAACCACTTCCACCGTCTGGAACCTGGTTTCCAGCGCCAAGAGAAAATGTGTTTAGAATTTAGACGGATTCTCCTGGAAACACCAGTAGCAACGCAATTGCTCAAATATCCAAGCTAGGCTGTGTGGATGAAAAAGTCTCTGTTCTTCATTTGTTCACTTTTTTTTTTTTTACCTGCAGGCATTGCAGTGTGGATCTGCCAGGATAAGAAAGGAAAACTGGCCTTTTTTTGGGAAATGAGACCTCTCCTGCCACTTGCTAATCAGCTGAATGAACAGATGAACTAGGTCTGGTTGCTGCTGCTTTTGGCGCTGGTGCTTTCTCAGTGTCACCATGGTCTCTGACACCTCAGATGAGGTAGGACTGAGAACTGGAGAGAAGTTTCTCCTTTTAGTTTATTTCCTGGTGTGTGTGTGTGACAGCCTGGGAAGCCCTTTGATCACCGAACAGCTCTGAAGGCAGCCTGCCTGGGAGCTGAGAGGCAAGTAGCCAAACTTCAGAGGTGGCTATGGAATGGAGATGAACAGCGTGGAAACACTGCTCAGAGAAGGGCCGGGAAGCCCAAAGTTCTTAAAAGTAATGAAGCCGCTTCCAGGCAGGTTGCACAACAAGCTGATCAAGCCCAGTGTTTGAATCAGCCTTGTCTGAGCTCCAACCCTGTTTCTACCCACAGCACACTTCTGACACCAAATGTGTGGGTGTTTTCCCCACACCAAACCATTGTCTGACATCAGCTGAGTGTCCAATGATCCAGTTCAATTCTGATACAATCTATCTGGGGTCCGTGCAGACCCCCCAGGTTAAGGGCTCAGTCCCAGAAGACTGCCCCCAGGTCAGAGACCAATCGCAAGTCCAGGTTGTTACCTGTACTTCTAACCCACTGGCTAAAAATTTGGGGGAGTCTGTCTCCTCAGGTTCGATAACTTGCTAAAACGGCTCTCAGAACTCAGAGAAAACAGTTTACTTGCTATGACCCATTTATTGTGAAGGATTCAACTCAAGAACGCCCGGATGGAAGGGATGCACAGGACAAGGTTTGTGACCAACCCAGGAGCGCATCAGATTTCATTGCCCAAGAGTTTTATAGAGCTTAATCTTCAGCCCCAACTCTCCTTCCTGCAGGCTGGTGAGTGGGGCTGAAAGTTCCAACCCTTTACTTACTTGTTCTTTCCGGTGACCAGCCCCCTATCTGGGGGCTTAGGTTCATTAGCATAAACTCAGGGGTGATCAGTAACAGGACACTCCTACCACTCAGGAAATTCCAAGGGTTTTAGAAGCTCTGTGCCAGGGATGGGGACAAAGACCAAATATATTTCTTATTATGCCACAAATACCCTCCAGCTCTGCGACCTCAAATAAGACATTCAACCCCTTAGCCTATGAGTGTCTAGAATAAGGTCATTGTGCAGAATAAATGAGGCAGTGTACATGCAACCCTTGATAGAAAGACAATGTTCCATGAAGGCAGTGGGATGCTGTTACCCCGAAGAGCCACAGGGCCTCCTCTGCTGGGTGGGTGGGGTCTGTAACGCAGGTTGCGGTGTGCTTTCTGCTGCCAACTCTGGGCATGCTTTTATCTTTTTAAAGCTAAATTTAAATGAACGAGGGTAACCTGGAAGGGGAAGAAGTGTTGCAAAAGGGTGACAGGCTATCGGACAGGTGGGTGTGGAGGTGGGAGAGGCAGTCATTGATTTGCTGAGGAAATATTGACCAGTGTCTGCCCTTTGTGGGACTCTGTGCTTAGCACTGAGAGTACGGTGGTGGGCACGATGCACAATGGTCCCGGCCCTCATATTGCTTATGGTCTAGTGGGGAAGACAGATAGGAAGCAGTAATTACGTGCTTGATTACCATTGGGTATGTATTTTGTATGTTATGTAGATTTGCAATGTGCCCTGAGTTCATGTGACACGGGGGCTGTAAGGAGGCTAGTTTGCTTTGATGAACGGCCCATGGGAGTGGCTGCTCAGAGATGATAAATGTCCCTGATGTCACTTTAGGATTTGCAGGTCATAGTCTCCCCTGTTTCTTCCCTTGACGTCAAGCTATCTAGAGAAGTTGATCATTCCAATTGCTCCATTAGGACATGGGGGCGCTGGGTTTCTTAACTAAACTCTGAATGGCACATCAGATTTATGGGTTCTGACCACCATATTGAAGTAGGCCTATTGGGGCCCCAGAAACTCTCTTCTTGACTGGTTTCCATCGAACGTGTCCACATCCTGGATTTGTGCATGCCAGCAGCCATGTGGAAAGGTCCATTTCAGCTCTCATGAGAACAAGGTCAGATGGTGCAGACAGGATTTCAGATTGGATAATAGGCCTGAGGTCAGGATCTATCAGAGAGATTCTCAGAGAGAAAAGACATGGTGAGAAAACATTTCCCATTCTCCTTACGTGTTCAAATGTCTTCTACACAGGAAGCTCTGTCAAGGCTGCAGGCATTTTCTTGGAGGTCACAAGTGGACCCTCTGTGCCCATCACTTGCCACCTTATATGCGTGATGCAGATGATCATAACAGCTGTAAAAATTAAAGATGAGACTGGAAGGAGCCGTCAACTGAAAGGAAAGGAATTATCCCAGAAGTCTTCCCTGCTCCTCTTCTGGGAGCCAACGAACTGGCTGCCCATTGGATGGAAAAGCTTTGCATTCTGATTGGGCCTCTCAGGCTTCTGAGAGCATTTGCACGGGGAGAGATTGCTCCCTGCTCTCCCCAGGGATTCTGCGGCCATTTCACCTACAGCTGTGTGGCCCTGTGTGGTTTATAAAGCACTTTAAATCCTGAGCTGGGCGTCAGGAAGCCTGTGTTCTGTTAGCAACTCTGTCAGTCACTCCACTGCTCTGGGCCTGAGACTCCTCATGAGGAAAACATGGAGATTACTAGAGTGAGTGTTTGCTGTGAGTAGAATTGTGTGCCCTCGAAAAAAGATATGTTACAATCCGGACCCCCAGGACCTCGGAATGTGACTTTCTTTGGAGACGGGGTGTTTGCAGAGGTAATGAAGTTAAAATGACATCGTTTGGGTGGGCTCAACTCCAATGTGATGGGTGTCCTTACAAAAAGGGGAAATTTGCAGAGAGAGACACCCATGGAGGGAAGATGAAATAAAGACATAAGGAGAGGGCAGCCATCTTCAAGCCAAGGAGAGAGGCCACAGAAGGAAGCAACCCTCCCAACACCTTGATCTCAGACTTCCAACCTCCAGAACTGTGAGGCAATCCGTTTCTGCTGTTTAAACCATCCAGCCTGTGGTCCTTGTCACAACAACCCTAGCAAGCTAATATGATGTCCTTAAGCTTTTTCGAGCCATGAACCCCTTTGATGGTCTAGCGTTAACCCTGGATCCCTTCTCAGAATAATGCTCAAATGGAAAAAATAAATACATCAGATTACAAAGGAAACAACATTTATGGAAATACCATTATCAAAATACCAAACATAGACATTTGTGATATAGTAACATATGCACTACTTTAATAATGGATTAAATAGCAAGATGTAGCAGCAAGTCTAAAACAAGCATCAGTCCCAAGGAGAGGTGAAAGGTGAATGATGTTTCAAGCTATCTGCAACGGCCATAATGTGACACGACCATATTATGATTTTTATTGGCGGCAGACACAGATGCTGCCGACGTGATCTGTTGCCTACATGCAAAGTTAAAATGCTAAATATCCATTGTTGGTTAGCGGAAGCAAGGATTTTTTTCATCCAAGCTTACCTTCCTGAATTCTATCCATTCCTGGACTGGACGGTGTCTAGGGGCCTTTTGAGATCTGAGACTAGGTGACTGGATTGGTTGCACTCTGGGGCTGGTGTTTGTGGCTCCTTGCCTGGGTCCCATTAACCCTCTAGCTTGGGCCTTGGGGACATGGCCCCAGGGGCTGGTGGTCGTGGCCATACCCTCCTCTTCTCAGGCCCTCTTTGTTGTCATGGCAGCAGGCCTACTTGGTTTCTGGGAGTTGCTCCATACTCAGTTGAAGGCACCAGGGCATTGCTGCTGCTCCTGAGGACTGCTCCTTATGGCTGGTCTGTGAGTCAGCAAAGGAGGTATATTGAGAAGGAGCCTCAAGTCAGTTCCTTTGGCAAAGCCACCCAGGTCCCTGCTGTGTGACTCAGATGAACCCTTCCCGGGATCCCGCACAGGCAGGAAGTAGCTGATTATCTATCCCAGGAACTTCATTCCTAGCCTTGTGATGGAGCCAGCTGTCCATGAATCACGGCCCTCCAGTCAGCTGGTCTCCACTCACACACGTGTCAGGGCCCAGGTCTCCTGGAAGTTTCACATGAGCTCATCTAGTTAATGCAAGTAACCACACACTCCCCTTTCCCCACACAGGTTCTTATCTCAAGAAAAGGAAACCTTGGTTTGGATCTCGTGTTTTGAACGCAGGGATTAGATCACCACCAATGGAAACATTCTCCTTCCGGCATAAGGGAGGATCCTGTTCTTCAGATAAATGCGCAGGTTCCATTATCTGCATTTGGAGGAATTTGGATGGAATATTACAGTATTGCATCCATTCTAAGACAAGCCTCTTTCATGCCTGAATAGCTCTGAAATCAGAATGTCTCTTTCAATCCCTGGCGTCTTGTATTTGACAAAATAGGGTGCATAAACAGAGAATTAGAGGATGAGGGGACAGGGAATTAGAGAATTTGGGTAACAACAGCACACAGCTTCTGCCAGCCCTAGAGAAGCCTTTTGTCACTTAGAGTGGGCCCCCAGCCAAACGCTACCTTGATTTTGTTGGATTTTTGGCCTTTGAATTAGGTTCATGGGTGGCATGATTTATAGATAAGATAACAAATGGGAAAAATCTTCAAAAAGAAGCATGACATGGCAATGGAGGGGGTTCTTACTTATTGTATATTTGGGTCATAAATATATTTTAGATCGTAATTTAGGAAATATATTAAAGTGCAAAATGTGTGTTTGTGGATCTATTTAATAAGAGGATCATGCTTAAAGAAAAAAAACTACAACTGTCCTTTGGCGGCTGTCAGGCTGCTTGCATGTTAACTGCTGACTTTATTAACCATCAGCTAAGGTAACCCGCATCTGAGTTCTGCCAAGGACCAAGGAAATCTTTGCTTTCTCAGGGCAACGGCCTCAGGGCAACAGCAGAGAGACTGCAGCTGCTAGTGGAGTTAAATTGTCTCCAAAAGAGGAGAATACTTGCATAGTAGTTAGAATTTTTTTAAATTTTTGAAATAATTATAGATTCAAGGAAATTGCCAAAAAAAAAAATACAGAGAAGTCCTTGTACTCTTCGCCCAGCTTCCCCCAATGGTAACACCTTACATAACCATAGTACAACATCTCCACCAGGGTGTTGACATCTCTCCACAGAGCTTATCCAGATTGCCGATGTTTTATATGCATTCGTGTGTGTGTGTGTGAATAGTCCTATGCAGTATTATCATATGTGTAGATCTTATAACCACCACCAAAATCAAGACACAGAACAGTTCCATCACCACAGGGCTTTCTCATGCCATCCCCTCACGGGCCGCCTCCCCATCTCCTCCCTAACCCCTGGTGGCCACTAACCCTTTCTCCATCTCTATAGTTTTGTTATTTCATAAATGTTACATAAATGGAATCGTACAGCACGTCACCTTTTGGTTGACATTTTCCACTATGCATAATTATTTTGAGATCCATCCAAGATGTTGTGTGTACTAATAATTCGTTCCTTTTTTGTTGATGAATGGTATTCCATGTCATGGGTGCGCCACAGTTTATTAATCATTTATCCACTGAAGGACATTTGGGTTATTTTTCGTTTTTGGCTATTATGAATAAAGCTGCTATCTGAATGACAATTTTAAGGCTAAAAAATGATACTAACCACTCGAGCAAAGGCTTGCTGAGGGCACGCTGCATTTTATACACATTTTTATCCCATAGTAACGTGGCATAGAATTTGCGCCCTGATGCTCAATAAATGCTTGTTTAGGGAGTGGATAGATGCATAGCAGACATTTCAAGGAGACAGTCCGGTGGGGCGGTTAAAATAAAAAGTTTAGACTCGGTGGTCCGGGGCTCGCCGGTTTGGATCCCAGGTGTGGACATGGCACCGCTTGGCAAGCCATGCTGTGGTAGGCATCCCACATATAAAGTAGAGGAAGATGGGTATAGATGTTAGCTCAGGCCAATCTTCCTCAGCAAAAAAAAGAGGAGGATTGGCAGCAGATGTTAGCTCAGAGCTAATCTTCCTCAAAAAATAAATAAATAAATAAATAAAAATAAAGATTTAGACTCAGGCAGAGTAGAACTTGAGGCCTGACTATCACCTCCTGGCTGATCTAACGCAGACCTCTGTTCCTCATCCGTAGAATAGGATAATAACAGGATGGCTGTTGCAGGGCTGCTGTGAGAATTAAATGAAGAAATGAAGGAAGCTCTTCCCAGTGTCACTGTTATGCTGTGCTTGCTTAATAAATTTCAGTCATCACTACTATTTGTAAGTAGATTGTGGAACTATGTAAGATCATGACGATATAATAGCTAATAGCTTTTTATTGCTTTTATTCTGAAATGCTTTTATCCTTCAAATGAAGCCATATGATTATAGTTGATATTTATGCATATTTAAGTTTCATGTTCATATATATGCAAATATTTTAAATATCTTAAGTGCCTTCTTTTTAAAATGATAATTCTTGCTTAACCTTATGATGTTATCTTATGAACATTAATGGCCAAATATAACTAACAGGCATATCTTTGGACATTTGGAAGGATTGAAATGTTCTTTTCTGTGCAGCCTTTCAGAGGTTTCTGTCATCCTTGGAAAATGGCCTCTGCTCTTGTAAAAACGGGCTGAACAGAATTTATTTTTCCCTTTTCATCAGATTATAAATTCATTTGGATAAACAGAAAGTGTCTTGGTTCCTTTTCTTTTTTTCTTTTTCAGAAATTTGGTTGCTGTCTGAACGCTTAGCGGGGAGAGGAACTTTTCCTGTCTTGCTATGCTCAAGGCTTGTGTGCCTGGGGTCACGTTTCGGGGGAGTGTCTCTGGACACTCCTTGGTCACCTGGAGGAATGACCTCCTGGAATGTCAGTGAAGTCCTGAGTCATAGGCACCCTCCCACCACACTCCTTGAGGCAGCCATTAGAAACTAACCATTAACTAGCTACCAGGGCAGGCGGAGGCGAGTCAAGTTTCCAGCTGTTTGACAGATAAAGACCAGTGATATTTACCATTACATAAATGGAGCCAGACACACTAAGGTCCTTCTGTGAGGGAGGTGTTGTGCTAGGCATTGTTGGGTTTATCAACATTACTTAGACTTTGTGCTTGCCCCTGTCAGGACGCGGTGTGTGTAGGAAAGGTTGTTAAGGAATGCTTCTTGGAGGAATCTGGGCTTTGCAGGATAGAAGAGACAGATATGGGAGATAAGGGGTTCCAGAGCTTGTCCACATCACTCAGGCCACACCTGCCTAGGTACTTTCCTGCCCTGGTATTTTTGGTCAGCTTCCTCTTCTACCTAAAATGCCCATCCCTGGAGAAATTCTACTCATTCCTCAGGAACCAGTTGATGCCAAGTTATGTGTGATGCCTTCTTTACCTCTACCTGAAAGAATTATTTGGTACTTTCCTCTGTGGTGACAGCCCTTTATTATAATATACATATGATATTATAGGATATATATCAAATATAAAGATTATAAGAATATATATATAATATAATATCTTTAGCCTATTGATGAGATGGAATATATTAATTGACTTTCAAATGTTGAACCAAACGTGCATGCCTGGAATAAATTCCACTTGGTTGTGGTGTACAATTCTTTTCATACATTTTTTGATTCAGTTTGTTAATGTAATTTTTTTTCATTTTCTTTTCTTCTTCTTCTCCCCAAAGCCCCCCAGTACACAGTTGTATACTTTAGCTGCAGGTCCTTCTAGCTGTCTATGTGGGATGCCGCCTCAGGGTGGCCTGATGAGCGGCGCCGTATCTGCCCCTAGGATCGGAAGCAGCGAAACCCTGGGCTGCCAAAGTGGAGCTCGTGAATTTGATCACTCAGCCACGGGGCCAGCCCCTGCTAATATGTTTTGAGGATTTTTACATCTGTGTTCATGAGAGATATTGGTCTGTAGTTTTCTTTTCTTGTCATGTCTTTGTCTGGTTTTGGTATTAGGGGAAATCTCATAGAATGAGTTAGGAAGTGTTCCCTCTGCTTCTATTTTCTAGAACAGATGGTGGATAGTTGGTATGATTTACTCCTTAAAAGTTTGTTAAAATTAACCAGTGAAACTGTCTGGGCCTGGTGCTTCTGTTTTGGAAGGTTATTAATTATTCATTCAATTTCTTGTTTTTTTTTTAAAGATTGGCACCTGAGCTAACAACTATTGCCAATCTTTTTTTTCCCCCTGCTTTTACCTCC